TGAGATAGGAAAGCGTGTGTTCAAACCTGTTATGAGTTCAAGGTCTTTACTTCCTATGTCATCAGCCTGCCACCATGCAGCCGACATTTGCATGCATGACTTCAGAGTTTAGAACTTTATGGACAGCCAAATGGTCCCATGGCAAAAAGCATAATAAGCCATAGATTTGTTTGAGAAAAAGAACTTGGGTGGCAAGAAACTATATGACATAGATCAGGCAGTGGGAAAAGCTTAGGGAGCGCGCCTAAATCATGAAGCTTGAAGCAGTCATATTCTCTCCTTGGGCACGGTATTTGGTTATTTTTTTTTTGGGAGTCATGTACTGGCAGAACGTCCACAACTCTTATGTCACTAGCCCAGCAAATTCTAGTGGCATTAGACCTGAGTATGTATATATATATATATAAACATTATATCACAGGTTTACATGCTCACCTCTTCTCGAGCTCAAATTGAAGAAGACCTTTTGATTCTTTATCGTAAAAGGAGGACTCAACAATCTGAACAAAGGACAGTCCCACTGTGTCCCACTGCATCACACTCACCGTTTTCCTCCGATCAGGTCCGCCCATGAGTTTGAAGCTTGTAAGTGAATGTTGACAAAGCAGTCGCTGCAAAGACTGTGCAATCTTGGGAGCCGGCTTGTTGGTGCCCGAACATCTTGGCAAAACCCATGGTCACAACATCATCTGGTAATCAAACCGACAGTTTTCGGAGAGCATACCCAGTAGGTATAGCTCCAAAGTTGTTTTGTACACCTGGTTCAGATTCCAACCTCACCCAGTCACTACACGTTTAGTACACCGCAGCAGTACACAGGATGAGTACACGGATGGCCCGAATGTTCTGGATGTTGAGTCTAACCATTGTGCGATCTCAGCAGTTCACATTGAGCAGCTCATCCGTTCCGCAATGGTCCAATAGGTTTTTGCCTATCCAATCAAAATCTCTTATAATTATTCACGGGCGGGGGCGTTTGGGTGCACTTTATGTCACCCAATTGTTTCTTTCACTACCTTTATGGTTCTTGAATGTTCTTTAACATTTCAATCCAAAAGACAATGACCAACAGGGCAAGGAACAATTGTTCACAAACAAACATCTGTGTTGATATTTGCAATGCCTGGCAATGCCCCAAAAATGGGAGCAGGGCTCAAGATATCCTCTCCCCCTTCCTTCAGCCCATTTCAGCCCTCTGCTCCTTCTTGGGCTCCCCTTTGGGCCCTCGCTTGCTGAATGCGCTGCTCGAGGCTTTTGGTGTGGCCTGGCGTTTCTGGTTTCGTTGTGATCGTAGCAGGGCTTCCCCTTGATGGAAACTGCAAACAAATGGATATGACGATTTGGTGTCACTTGAAAAGAACTCATACATGTATATATATATATAGTTTGGTATATATTATATATGTATGGGAATAGGTCATATGTGTTTTTTTGCATCTTGCTTGTGGTGACAGCTGTTTTTCAAACTCTGAACATCATTCATTCCCCTGGACCTGCTCGGATTTAAATGATCTTATGAGTCTAATGGAGCCCCTTTCCTTGACTGGGCCCTGCCAGTCTCAATACAAGAAGAGGGCAATCATGCAATTTAGTTGTCGCTTCTTGGCGCTTTAAACCATCGCCACAAAGAGGGTAGCGTATTGGGAATCTAGGACCTGACTGAGACGAGCATTCCAACAGAATTGGCAGAAATCTTCCAAACCACCGGCGCCAGTGCCAAAGTTCCGCCAGCCCAAAGTGGAGTCTAGGTTTTGCACCACTCCGAAAGAGGGTGGCCTGCAGGACCCAAAGAGGATGCACCTGGTATATAGAAGTCGCATGGGATCGCTATATACTAGGAGCAACGACACTACAAGTACTAGTAACAAAGGGCATCGCTCCTAGGAACAAGAACGCTACTAGGGGCTCCTGGCATCGCTACTAGGAGCAAGGACGCTACTAGTCACAAAGGGCATCGCAGGACTAACCCGTCAGTACACACTTTCGGTCTCGGTGCTCATGGCCTTGGAGGCCGGGATCACTTGATTCTCCTGGCGGCTTTCGGAAGGTTTGGTTGGCCCTGAGAATCTGTAGAAAACACATCAGTGTTTAAACTATACATATATATATATCTTACGTATATATATATATATATTGTACTACAAAAAAGAACGCTGCCCAATTAAAAACATGCACGTCGGAGATCCGATTCTATCATCAGTGAGCTGATGGCACCGCCGCTAGCACGGGTCCCTGGGAATTCACATGGCCTGGTTCGGAAAAAACAATTACGGGTTGAAAAAAGCAACCACATAAGTAGCACTGAACCTTCAAAAGCGATGCAATCATGAACCTTCAAATACTTAAGTTTGGACCAATAAGTCAAAATAAGTGAATGATCGGATCGCAACCATTGAACAGGATAGATGGGGGTAATGACTTGGGAGAGGACCAAAGAAGGTTTGTACCTTGAATAAACCGACGCAGTGGCAATCAGACAATTAACATGTGATTTGCTCGTTGGTTAGTATGGGTTAGCACGGGTTGCGTACGGATTAGATTAAATATGGGTTCTCAAAACACATTATGTTTTTGAATTATTCATCAAACATACTGGTTTCGTGTGGGTTAGGGCTCCATACGGTATAAATATGGTGTCCTGTCCTATGTTTTCGGTCCAGTCAAATTCCCCAACAGGTGGACAAATTGGAAGAATAGTCGACATTTGGTGACTTGTGGATCCATTAAGATCCCACGGCACGCACCTGAAAGCAAGACCTGGGAGACCGGTGCTTGTTTCTTTCACCAAAAGACGCTGTTTCTTGGGAAAGACCATGTTTTCCATCTCTTCATATTCAATGCTACGGCATGTGAAACAGTGGAACTGAGGATTTCACTGTAACTTCTACGGCTCCTTCGGTTGATTCTTGGTCTTCATGTCATCCGTCACCTGCCATCTCGATCAAGCACGAGGATCCAGGATCATTTGCGCCCCCCCCCCCCACAGGTTCAAGCGCCTTCGGTCCGCCAGGATCCAAAAGCGCCAGTGAAGAAGATGACAGTTCTTGGAACTGGAAAACCATGTGTGACCATGTGTCAACAAATCACGTGTCACATCTGAAAAGTGATCCGCTACTGGTGGCCACTCGAGTCCACTTCAACCCTTTGGCCGAGGTGAGCAGGTGGAAGCAGCAGGTCGAACCCGGGATGAAACCATCTGACAGAGTTTAACCAAAAGGAAAAACACACATTCACATGAGTGCTTGTCCTACTGTCCGGACTACAGTGCTACTGATGATCCATTCACACATGAAGTGAGCTGTCTGGATGGGATCCGAGTCGCTCGTCGCTCGTCGGAATCTGAGATTCGGACCTGAGACCCTGAGAAGGGACATTTTGAGATCCTATGATGGTCCTATGATCCTATGGTTTGAGTACAGTACATCCCATGACCAGGAACAGTGGATGATGGTTAGCTTGCCCCTTCCCAACAGTGATCATCCTTTAACGACTGTTACTGGTATGGAATACACCATGAACGTACCCTCAACATCGACATATATGTATATAAAGTATATTATAGTAGGCCCTAAATGGCAACTTTTGTAGGCGACCTGAGCAGTGAGACCCTGAAAGTGTCCTGGATAACTCCCCGCAGCAGAGTTGGGGGTTCCCAACGAATCATAATGAATCAATCTTCGAGTTAGGGTAGAAGTGATCAGCCGACTTTAGACTTTCAATTTGAGCCCTCCTTTTCCTCGTTCCTCCGCTCTCATGAGTTCGGTCTGCCACTTTTGTGGCGACGTTCAACTTGCCGCTCAGCACATTTGGGGTCGCGACAACACCAACATTGGCGACGCGTGGGTTGTCGCAACAACACCCCATACTCGGCGACACGCAGGAGATCATTTCCACATATGTCCACACTCCACAAGGAAGGAACCTTGAAAGAACATTGCTTGATTCATCGACAGGGAAGCCACAACAAAGCACCGTATCATTTCGATGGTTGGGAACGATACCCTTCTCCCAAGGTGAGTGAACACTCTGGAGGGTATGGCAATATAATGATGGGGTGGCAGGGGTCAGTCAACGTGAGTCCAAGGGTTTCTACTGATATATATATATAACCCCCGTAACCCCTAAATCTATCAGTGGGAAAGTAAAGAATCTGGTACCCCAAGATTCATCTACAAAGTACCGGTGGACTGCAAGTCACGGGGACTCGTACCGAGATGCCATTACTTCATATGACTTCATGATTCTACTTAACTTTTCTTGAATAGCTTAGATTCAAGTTAGAAACACCACCTGCACCATGCAAAGACCGGCTGTGCAGGTGAATTGAAAATGTTTAAGCGTTTTGCCTAGAAGCAGAGACAAAGAGAGACACCAGCTTGCTCTTGGAGCTTAGCACAATATTTTGCCATCCTCATCTGGGTACCATACAGAACGTTGTAGATGGCAACCACCTGCAACGACTGTCCATGGGGACCAACACAAACTGTAACGATTGCTCTCTGAAACAGCTTTTTAGAGTTATTTCATCGTATTTCATGCTGCTAGTTCCCACATTCTCCCGGATTCCTTCAAACCTGCGCTTTTCTGGCGAGATATTGGGCCCGATCAATCGCAATGGTGATCCAGGAGCTTTTTCAAACAGTCTCGTGCACGAAGAAGAAAACTATGTTGTAGGAATTGTGGATGAAACTGATGAAACCGCATTAAGATCATGAAAATGGTGGGAGTGTTAAAAACCATCTCTGCCGGTGTCCCTCTTCAGGTTGCGGCTGTCCGCACGTGTGTTCCTTTGCACCACGCGTCGCTGACACAGCCGGTTCTGGGTCGAGTCGCTGTTCGGACGCGCGGCTGCGTGGTCGGACGGGCATCGGTGGTGGAAACCATATGCCATCATGTGACATATCGCATCATATCGCTATTAGGTTGGAGGCCATGGCTACCTTGTTGAAGGCCAAGGCTTTTAACATGGTTTGAAAGTGCAGTTTTCGGGTGTCTTTACTGGACCTCGTCCGCGTTCGCCGCTCCTCCGTGGCGACTCAGATCCGGTGAAACGGTGAGACTCGCCTCGCCGTGAGGCAAAACGCAGCGTCGCCTCGCCATGTGTTTCTCGCTACTAGGTGCTACTAGGAGCTACTAGGAGCAAAGGGCATTACTAGGAGCAAGAAACTACTAGGTTGAGGCCATCACTATAAGGTTCAAAACCATCGCTAGTAGGAGCAAGGACGCGAGTCATTCGGAAAAAAGGGGCCTTCCCCCCTGTGGTGAGGCATAGCAAACCACTCGACCACACAGAACATGAGTGGGGTTTGCTTGCTTTGATCAGTCTCTTCTATCATGTACGATGTTAGCTTGGGAGAATCCAAGAAGAATTTTTTGGCTGAGGTGGCCGAAAGCATTCTAGGACCGAAATGACACGTCAATGTCAAGCAACATTTGTTGGTGAATGCTTTGAGCAGCTGCCATCATCACCAATACGGCAGCAAAACTGTTCCAAAATTGAAACACTCGATGCACCTGATGACAAATTTTCAGACCTCCCAGGTTCGCCACAGCTTCAGGCCAACCTCGTCCCGACGCGAGGCGACGGTCGCGGCGCGCGCCGACGCGGCTTGCCCCGGCGGAGGCGAGGCTCAAGACTCGAGGCCCGAGGCTCAGTAATTACATCAGCCTGCGCGGGCGACCACAGTGGTGCCACCACAGAAGCGAGTGACGTGGAGATCGAAAAGGAAGGGGGAGGCTTTTAAAACATGTTCTCGACACCATTCCATTCCATTCCTATGTATGTCGTGTTGTACACGATATAAATTCAACAGCTCTTTGATGCTCTTTATATGTCATTCAATCTGGAAGCTGCTCTAAGTTTCAGCATTCCTGACACGGAATGCTCACCGGTTCTATCTATCTCAAATTGCGGCACTTGCTTTTTATGTCTCACTCTTAACTGCCATTTTGGTGCCGTCTGACGGCCAAACCTCCAGCATGCTCAAACGTCTTCAGCACTCGGGATGAGAACCGTTTCTTCGACTGGCAGGTGGGCAGTGAATTGGGGCCCACCCCCACGGTTTGGAAATCCAACGATCCCTCCTAAGCGCCCCAGCATGAAGAAAACGCCTTTTCAGCAAGTCTGTCTACCAGAAAAAAGACTTCTTGCCTGCTAGCCGACATAGATGTGTAAAGTATGTAAGGATATTTGTTTGAAAAACAACAAGCGGAACACATCTTCAAAATAACACCAAACCGCGCCAGGCGGTATCACCTTATTCTTTCACTTTAAAAAATGTAATATACACACATAAATATATATACATATACATACCGGCAGTGGCTCACCCAGTATGTCTACCAGCCAAACAATCCACCCACCTATGGACACACCAGTTCCACACCAGATGGGTGGCCGTAGTGGGGAGCGGTCGGTTGCCCGGTCGGAGCCCGGTTGCACCGTTAAGACGTGTCGGTTGCGACGTCATGGACGTCGGGGGTGCCACGATGTCGCAAGAAATGGGGTCCGGAGATTGATGAGATCAATCGATATCATTCGATTTGCTTCCAGGTTTTGTTTCCTGAAAGGCCTTGGTTGATACAAGGTGAGCCCTCAATCTTTGCATTTCATTCAGCTGCAGCTGAACAAAATAGTCCCAGCAAGCCGCACATGTATACGTCTCCTTTTTCGTAATCATTGGGCTTTAGGAGATACTGTCTTCTGGATCATTCCCGGTTCCGCTTTCTCAGGCGCGCGAAAGAAAGTGCCTTTGCTGTCACATTGTCCAGAACCTCGCGCTCTGAAGCTGTAGCAGGGCGGGTGAACATCACTTTGACTCGCCCACGTGACTGAGTTGTCGTAGCTGGGAACGTGCCAAAAGCTTGGGTGACATCTTGCTTGGTCCAGGTCAGCCTGCTTTGAGGCAATTGTGTGGATGTAGAGTAGCTGTAGATCAAACATCCCTACATTGGCAGTCACGTTCAGTGAATGCTTTGCTCGGATATCCAATTTGTGGTTTTGTTTCAATGTTACTCTATAGGCTATAGGTTTTTTGATGCTTGATAAGCAAGCTTACTTACATGCTGTTTCATTATAGCAACCTTACATGAACTGGGCAACAACAAGGCATTCACAAAATCCCACTGCTATTCATCAATTTTGTTCTATTCACTAAACGAGTTTGCTGGTTCTAAAGGTTTCACCCAACGGAACGTTGAGTCCCAAAAACTGATGAACGGAACCTTTCCCAACGGCTCTGCTACTCACATCTCATACTGCCTTACATTGTCATCTGATACTTTACGTTAATACTTGTCCCATAAACCCTAACTGACACCAGGGGTAAACTTTCAGTTGAGTCCTTCGTTGGGATTTTCATCCTCCCATGGATTTCTGATTAGTGTTGGGAGGTTCTCGATAACCGTCAATAACTAGCTTGCCAGGAATTTCCCCCCCCCCTGGCCCCTCGCAATCTCAGGTTACCCTAGTTGTGTTCTATGTTCACAGTTCTTGTTCATTTGACTGAGGGTCTTCTAGACACACGAATAACAACACAAAACACAGAGCATGCAAATCATAACATAATTATAGACTGAGAGTCCTTCCTTGCATGACGCTTCACTTCCTCAACTTCAATATGAAGATCAAAAACTACGGGCTCTGCACAGGACACCAAGTAATCTTCAAAATGTCAGAGGTAGCTCAAGCTACGCTTCATACAAAGGAAAATACCCGCTAGTAACATCTATAGTAACAATGTTCGCTACATTTGGGGCTCCTGGCCCTACTACGAACGGAGCAAGGACGCTACGTTCGGGGCTCCTGGCATGGCTACTAGGAGCATTCTTACTACTAGTAACAATGTTGCACAAACATGGACCGCCCCCCTGCCCCCCATCCACACCACCACGGCCGATCCATGTCCCAAGTCGCGTAAGGCCGACCATGACGTAGGCGGCGATCAGCATGGCTCCTTCTAACCAGTTAGACCTTAGGGAGGTCATCGCTACTGCTAGGAGCGGTCGGACGCTACTGGGGCTCCTGGCCTTACTACTAGGAGCAAGAAGCTACTAGGAACAAAGGGCATCGCTACGAACGGAGCAAGGACGCTACGAACGGTTGGAGGTCATCGCCTGCGCTCGCCAAGTGCTGCGACGCGTCGGCGCGTCCGTCTCACCGACGTCCGCCTTTCCCAACAGTCAGATGACTGGCAGGAGATCACGACATACGGGGACCCGATGGACCATTTTGGTGACGACAGAACTCTTGAAGTCTTAGTTGGCAAATCACATCAAATCACTAGGTCCATCGTGATGAAAAACGGAAGGAGCGCATGGACGATGGAAAACAACGGCACTGGTTCGCTAGAAACCTGACAAGATTGAACATCAGTTTGAGAGGGGACTCTTCAGGGGTCAGCCGGTATGTGCTCCGGTCAACACCCCGACCCGCGTAATATGTTCACGTATGACAACTAACATATCCTGCAATGGTGACATAACATGTTGACATGACATCAAAATACTCCCTCTCAGTCTTGTCACATGACTGAATCTTGTACAATCCACCTCAATCGCATAACTCCACTGGGTCTCCGGGCTCACCGTCACTGGTCACACTGCCCACCTTGGAAGAACGTGAAGGGAAAACACGGGAGAAACACATGGGGTAGCGATGACCTCCAACCCAATAGCCATGGCCTCCAACCTAGTAGCCGATGACAAAATGGAACAATGATGAACCATGACTACCTCACTCACTTGAGCTGAACTCCAAGAAATGGGCCCACTGGATACTCAGCTGTGTTAGTCTACTTGTCCTGGGATACCAGTGGGTGACTGGACCATCCCGCTTAGAGTCAGACCCAGCTGATGCAAATGAACCTGGGGGTCTTCTTAAAGGGCTTGCAACTGGAAATCATCAGTCAGTCAGCATGAACTTTCTTGTTACTTGGACCAAACTACCCGCAAATAGACTGCTGGAAAATTTCGCCTTGGCTTTACATTGCTTCCTGTGCATGGTGGGTTGCTCTTCGCACCACAGTCCAAAGTCCATGGGCTGCGCACCACAGGCCCTGTATGTTGCACACCCGCCGTTCTCCAACGTCGCTCCGCTCGGGGTCTTCGGTCTAGGCACGATGAGCACAGTGACCAGTAAGATGCCGGTGCCCAGGGGCCGGAAGTTCAAGTCCTCGGGGCGTGGTGCTTCTGCTCCGTGCTGGGCCAGCGGTTTCTCTTGAAGAAAGAAAAGAACAGGAACGAAGAACATATATAGATTAACATGGCTCAAGATCTTTTGTTAAGATTATAGATTAACTAGAGGAATTCCTTCAAAGTGCTGTACTGTACTCCTTCACCAGGACAGAATACACAAACCACACAAAAACCATCTAAAACCTGCTGGTTGGGGGTTCCCATGTTGAGATGGGCCTCGTTCTCAAACTGTTGAGGAGCAAATCGGGATTTCGGGCCCTGAAAGCACTGGTAGCTTCTTGTTGCTACTAGTAAGGCACTTGTTACTATAGTAGCGATGCACTTGTTTCTACTAGCTTATCGTCGGAATCCCCATCGGTGATGGAATCCGGTCAATCACCAATCGTCGGGTGCCGTAGTTGGTGGGCATGAAAACAATATAACACGGGATACCTTGTTTCACAAAACTTGTGTTGCTCAAGCTATATTTGTGCAAGCAATTCAATGACTTGACACTACGGACATTTGCGGTTTCTGGATCATTCATTGAACCTGCGTGAACCGTTTGAACCATTCCTTCCTGCACCTACCCCAAGCAAGTGATATTGTTTTCATCTTCAGATCCTCCGCATCATGTAAACCCATTTATTTTCCCAATTCAGGTGTCTGATGGTGTTGCCAAGTCCATGTGATCCCAGAATAAAGCATTTAGAAAGGACAAAACCAAGAATGTAGTCTACCAGCATCCGGTGGATCTTAGGCACTTAGAGCACTGGTGCTATGACTCTGACACCTTTTCCTGTCTAGATACTTTCTGGACGACAACAACAACAACAACAACCATGGGAGCACCTAGATCGACAAGTGTTTCAGATTGGGATATGAATTGCATGGTGTAGCTCAGTTTTCTCGGAGTAGATCGAACATGGGACAAACCCAACAAACAAAACAATCTCAATTGGTCACATTTGTATATTGGTTTTATTAAAAAAAATGGAATATGGCATCATTCTATTTCAGGATGGCTAAATGATGTTTAACATAATCACAGGATGTTGAACAAATTGAGCCTGAAGATAGGTTGCACATGTGTTCATCTCAATCAGCCAAAATCATCCAAGCGTCCATGGGGACTTCGATGATCCATCCAGCGATCACCTGAGTGCGGGCCGAGTGGTGCTGTGGCTGTCATGGGGGATGACGGATGATGAGAGCAAACCCAGGTTGTTTCTCAGAGACACTTGCCCATAGAAAGAAACCAACCATGCTGATGACACAAAGTCCACCTTCTAAGACCGCAAACTGTCCCAGTCACTGTAGCAACACAAAAGACCACTTTGCATTCTGTCCAAGTGGTGCAAACATTTTGCACCAGTACTGTGAACCACTCATGGCACACTTGATTCATTGTGGTCGTCCGTGGTAGCATGCTTGATACTATACGCCAAAATCAAAGTTTCAAAAAACTCATTGGGACTTTATGTACTTGGATCTAAGGACCCAAAACACACAACACAGTTGAGGTGCCCCTGCCAAGCCGAGGCCAGCCAAGATGCATGAAGATCACCAATTGTTTATCTGTTTCGATTGAAGTTGATTTCCGTGTCTGCTTTGCAAAAGACTTTAAAGAGTCGGAAGAAGAGAAACAAGAAGAAACAAAGCCACTTGGCCAGCCTTGCTGTCACCGTTCTAAGACCGAAGAGTCACATTCGACGGACCAAATCACACAAGAACACACACACCGTTAGCAAGCTGAGTACGGGGGGCCCATGAGATGAGAATGCCTCAACCAATGTCTTTCGCTCTTTGTGCCCATTAACAGTACACATAAGTCATCCTCAGGAAGATAGACCACAAGCACAAAATCAACCCTTCAATAGCATTGGAGGTCACTGTTATCAGTTTGGGAAACATATACATATATAATATAGTAAAATATAACAAGGTATGATGTGTAGATGGAATAGATAGAATATATATATGAATATATAGAGATTGAGGAATATAGTTTGCCAGGCCCGAACATGGCGAACTGGCGGAACCGTGGCCCCCGAATCATATCACATATCAAGATATAAATTGAGTACTTCTGGATCAGTTTTTCATTCAACAGAAATTGTGGATCTCTTCCGGCGCTCTTATTCCTCTGTGTGCCGAGGAGCGCTGAAGGGCACCACTAGCAGGGCGATCTGAGATGAGCTGCCCAGCGCGACGCCTAAGGAGAGGTCCATCTTGTTCTTCAGGGCCACATCCACCTGAGATCATTTAAACTACACCAAAAGAAGTCCTCTTGCGTGAAGTTGTTCACAGCAAAAGGTCAAAAAGTCCGTTCTATACACTGAGAATAGGCGGTTTTGATCCGGATGGGATTCGCCCAAACGCTGGGACCGACCTGTGTAGTTGGTCACGTCACTGGATTCAAAATCTAGATCTCAGTTGATCTCAGGGACCTCATCAAGCTTTTCCTTACGTCCAGCAGTGATTCGTCCTGCCCGTTCACCAGTGCGGAAATAGCGATGAAACAACGCTTTCAGGGAGTTCCTGAGGAGAATGACTAGGGATGTGGATAGGTTGGGGTCATCCAACTTTACCTTCTCAAAAAAGTGGCGACTCTGTTGGGATCAATTCCCATTGGCAACACCAAATGATAACGAATCCGTGAAATTCCATCCTGTGATGGACAGGTAGCGCAGAATCTCAGGCAGCCACAAACAAGCCCCCCTGATGTCAGGCAATATGGTCAATTGACAAAGCTCAAGGAAAGGACATAAGGGAAAATATAACATATTAAAGCTATAGGTTTTCCTGTTACAAACTCGTTCGACCACTCGAAGGCTTCTTCTGCGTCCCTGCTAGATCTACTAGTAGCCTTCATTGCCACTTTCTTACGCCCAGCAAAAACAAATATATATATATATATACAGTAATAGAAACATGCAATAAGAAAAATCACTACAAAAACTACATTGCATCCCTAGGGTATTCCACGGCTGGTCTACTTTCTGTGTTCTGTTGGCTTGCACTGTGGACCATCCTTGCATTCGGATTATGATTATTTGGGCTAATTCGGGAGCATCGCCGATCGCATAGTGGTGAGAACGTAGAGCCTGGGTATATCTGGGCATTGAGCTGCCCGGAGTTCTGAGGCTCTGAGAGATGTAAACACTACTCCTGTCCAAACCTTATATAACCCAAATAGAGGCCGGACCCTCAATGGGATAGGAACCTAGTAATTAGCTTCTTGTTCAGTTCCTAGTAGCAATGCCAGGAGCTACCAGTAGCTTCTTGTTACGTTCGTAGCGATGGCGTCCAACCTGGGGATCTGGGGGACGCAATGTCACCAGTTGCGCTGTGTCTCCGAGTCAGCTCCGCTTCCCATGCCGAGTAACTGCTGTGAGATGCTCCGCAGCATTGCCCACAATGGGAAGGAGGATCTCGGGAAAAAGGCATCCATGTGAAGAACAGCGAACCGGCTAAAGAAACTGGCACCTGGAAATTATCGTGCATGGTAGGTGTTAATTGCTTTTTGGATCGTTTTATGTCTTTTTGCTAGTACAATGGGTGTGGAAATGGGAATCTAAAATTCTGTGCTTTTCAATGGCTGCTGGGGTCTTTCCCAACTTCTCCCCTATCCAGGATGTCCATTTCTTTTGCAAACAGCTGTTTGTCCATTTCCATGCTTGTTCGGAGGGAGGGAGGGTAGTTGGTCCCAACTTATCAAATCTCCTCCAGACTCTCATGCTCGGACATGCTCGGACTAAAATACAAATCACGGAATCCTCTGCCAATCAGTTTCCCTCACATCAGATTCCGTGATTGGCAGTCTAAGTCTTAGTCTAAGTGAGATGCCACAAGTGCTCAAAATTCCTCCCAACAAGTGGGGAAAAGAACAGGGGCGTCGACCTCTACCACAAATCGACACCTGCGATCTGCCAATATCGACGCCAAATCTTCTGCAGCGGCACCAGCTGGAAAGACGAGGGGCGACACCGATGAAGTCCTCCGAGATGCCCATGTTCTTGGTGATGCCCTGGCATTTGCATCGCTACTAGTACCAAGAAGCTACTAGGAACAAGTGCATCGCTACTAGTAACAAGTGCCTTACTAGTAGTAACAAGGACGCTACTAGGGGCTCCTGGCATCGCTACTAGTATCAAGAAGCTACTAGGAACGGTCTTTGAAGCTATAGTAACAAGTGCCACGCTATTAGAAACAATAAGCTTTTAGAAACAAGTGCATCGCTACTAGGAACAAGTGCCTTACTAGTAACAAGGACGCTAGTAGTAACAAGTGCATCGCTACTAGTAACTAGGAACGGTCTTTGAAGCTACTAGCAGCGATCGGACGCTACTAGGAGCTCCTGGCCATACTACTAGTAACAAGAAGTTAGTAGAAGCAAAGGGCGTCGCGACTCCTACGAGCAAGGAACCCTTGTGGATCTCATGCACTACGGAACAATCCAGTCGCATCAAGTTCTCCAGAAAACGGCCTGGGTCACACGTGACATCTGGAGTGAACCCCAAACAACAGTCAACATTTAACTATTCCAAACATACCTACACTGTTGTGCTAATAGGCTGCCTCTCGGATGCCTTTTGGCCTTTTGGCCATGGCCATTTTGTTCTCCGCCCACCGGCGTCGAAGCCACCCGCCTCCACGCTATCGACCAACCCTTCAGAGCACACGGCGACCGTGAAGGTGATCACAGCGAGAAGCCTCGAGAGTGGGAACATGTTGAACCAAAACCCCTTAGACGGTTGAACATCCGGTCATTGCACTCTTAACTTGCACTTGATGTTCCTAGCTATAGATTTATGCCACACTATGATATGTCAGAAATCCTTGTGCTTCCCAAAGGCCCAGGTGCTCTGGATTTCATGAAGCAGTTTGGAGCCAGTGAAACCCCGAACGTTGCAAAACATTTCTCTAGAACCTATGGTGGCGATGAAGAAAGAATCAAAAACATCGGAGTACAACTTGTTGGATGATCATCACTGTCGAAAATCCCTATACCCTACTTGGTCAGCTTAGTGGGCCAGCCCAACGCGACCCCTGTTTCCGCATATCAACACCCCAACACTTGGCCAACAAGTCCTCTCAAAACAAGTCAAAGAGCTCCTTGTCCACATTAGGTTATTAATATCTTATATTAGTTCCAGACATGTGTTCATGTGATCTCAAGAAACATATGTGTACAACATTATGTCAGAAAAGTCCTCACCAGAATTCTGCTCTCATCTTTTCCAGCGCTGGGCTGCCCCCACAACGTGGCGACGGCCGGATGGATGGGGTCCTGAAAACGCATGGGATCAGGATGAAGCTTTACCTTCAGGATCACCCCCGAGTAATAGACAAATTTGAGGGCTTCCACTACACTGAAGTAGAGTGAGAGCACATATGCTCCATCAAAGAAACAACGTGTAGGCAATCCATGGTCTCAGTCTCATAATTGCCTTCTTCATCACTACAGGAACATGTCCAGCAAACGAGTGATTCCTTCCCCTTTTTGTGGGCATCGATCTGTTTGCCGCCTCTTGGGCGGAGTTGGATCGTTTTTCACCGGCGTTGTAAGGCGTTGCCAGTTGCAGAACAACACGATATCTATCATCGGAAGCTCGGCGTTTTCACGGTTTGTTGGACCCTTCTTCCATTTAGCCCACTTCAATGGAGTGCTTTGCTCGTGCTCGTTGCTTCATGAAGGCCCCAGTTGGACACAAAGTGACGTGATGCACGGTGACTCGCATGGTGTACATTCCTCAGAGGGTCATACAGTCATACCTGCAAATGACATGGCTCTCTCGATGTTTCTCGGAACATCGGTGTGTCACAGTCATCAACCTTGACAAGCCAAACCTCAACAATTCCAGAAATCAAACTTCATGATTGCGAAATGGTGCAAGGCCTTTTTGGATATTTCAGGGGCGGTTGTAAAAAGCCTGGTCGCCGACCCTCACCAGGAAAAGGGGGCACAAGCGACACGTGGTTGCAAATACGACGATGCGGATTCTGAGAACGTGCGTGTGAGAATTGCCACCTACAAGCCGTGGTCCGACTACATCTTGTTCCAAAACGAATGCGAACCAGAAGCGTTACCTGCCGTGGAGTTGTTGCAAAAAATCTAAACCTATTGGACAAATTTTGAAACCAAGAGGAGGCCTTTAGCCCGAACAACATCCAACAAGCGCTTTGTAACGTCCCTCATTCTGAGACCTAGCCATAGTCGTCCCTCCAACCCAGTAAGAGGCATTTGTTTCCACTTTGCAGTCTAGTGACGCGTTGTCACTGCACAACAATTGTCATTTGATGTCATTTGTTACATACCAAAAGCCTCAATTGGAAATGAATGGGTAGGGATTGAAGGGGGCCCTTTCAAACGCATTAACATGCAACATTGTTTTGTATGTTATAACACATGATTTGTTATTCGTGGGCTCTTGGACTGCTGCTTGAGTCATTGAACAAACAGTTGCAGAATGATGCACCATTCGAGTTCTTTGGTTTCTGCCTCCTGTCCGTCCCACCACCTGGCCTCATTGGCCTCCCCCTCCGGTTGCTCGGTCTGCAGCGTGGCGCGGAGATCCCGAACGTCCGATCAAACCTCTACGGACTTGAGGGACATCGGCTCTTATCAACGGATATCAAGGGATATCCCTTATTCAATATATGCCTTTTCCTGCTAAAGGGAGGTTGTCCCACTGCTGGCTTTTGCGTCCAGCTCCCCAAGGCTGTGGTCACCATCCCTCTGGGCACTGGCTACAAGTTTCAATCTGCGTCAAATCCGAGTACTACCCATGTGGCTGCTAGCAGTTCCCCAAAATTCCAGTGACCACGTGGTGTCTTACTCGTCCTTGTGATGTCCGGTGAAAAAGGTCTCCCGTTGAAGAAATGCGTTGCTGAGACTTTTTGGGGACTGTTGCTGAGTGGGGGGGAATATTGCAAATTGCCCAAGGCATTTCATATCCAGCACTTCTAAAAACATCCAGTGTTGAAACGGATGGGCGCAGTCAAGACGTAGTTGACCCAATCAAATAACTACAAAGCATGTAGCTGATTAAATATACACGTAGTCTAGTTTCCATATAATACTATTTAGAGTAGAAACAAAGACTCTGAACACTCGTGGTTCCCACAGACATGCCGGATCTGTGGTGAGCGGTCCTCAAAGTAATCCTTGTGCGTTTTGAGCTGGAATATCAGGTACAAACCTGAGAAAGGCAAAGAAGGAGTCAATCAGAAGTCGACTTTCTATGAGTATGGATAGTGCAAGTGAAGCTTGTGAAACTTCACATTCGTTTCAAGTCAATTTCTGGAACTCCAAAGAGCAAAAAACACTACAAGTAGGGGTACACAACTATCACTCTGAGAAGGGTGTCCTTCCAGTCCCGGACAAGGAAAACTTGCAAACAAATTCATGGAACCATCAGATGCCACTATGTGGCTTGGGGGTCCTCCATGACATCCAAAGGTACCCAA